CAAAGGCGAAATCAAGCCCGCGCAAAACGTCATGGATAAAACGCTGGAAGGTTTGGGCAGCGTTCCGTAAGCCAAAAGGCATTCGAAGAAATTCGAACAGGCCAAACGGTGTAATCACAGCAGTCTTAGGTATATCCTCGGGGTCGACGGGAATCTGGTAGTAAGCCCGTGTAAGGTCCAGTTTGCTGAATACTCGAGCTCCCTTGAGTGAGGCGGTTAAATCGTGTATGTGAGGGACAGGGTAGCGATCGGGAACAGTTTGTGCGTTTAGTCTGCGGTAGTCGCCACAAGGACGCCAATCTAAACCGTTATTCTTAGGTACCAGGTGCAACGGTGAGGACCACGGGCTGCTGGATGGCCTAATAATCCCCATTTCTAGCATATGCTCAAACTCCGCTTTGACAACCTTTAGTTTTTCTGGGGATAGTCGCCTCGGCTTTGCGAAAACTGGCGGGCCAGTAGTGACAATATGGTGTGTGACGTTGGAAGTCGCACATGGCAGGCCGCTGCTAGGTTTGAACAAATCTGAAAAAGACTGCAGTATATGCGAATAAGGACCAGTGCTAGTGGGTGTGGCATATACAGGGCTGAGGGCTGGGCCTTGTGTGACGATACCGCTGACGGAGAGGTTTGTGACAGGATCTCTTAACTTATGATTACCTGTATCTACCAGTAATTGGTAGTGCTGCAATAGATCCATGCCAATTATACCTGTGGTAACGTCTGCCACCAGGAAGACCCAACGAAGTGAACGACGCAAACCGATGTTAAGATCTATAAAGCGCCTGCCGAACGTAGCAATTGGCGAACCGTTTGCGGCTCGTAGTTGAAGAGACATTGGCCGCCTGCGCTCCTCTACTGTGGGTGGGATTACACTGACCTCTGCTCCGGTATCAATTAGGAAGCGTATCCCAGTGTTACGGTCGGTAACATAGAAGAGGCGACATGAGAGCGGTTCGCCAGCGACGTTAGTCGCCAGTACGTGCTGGCTTGCTAGTTTCCCGATTGTTGAACATCGAAGGTGCACGGGCGAGTGCACTTTTGGGCTTTTGCTCCGTAACGTCGATGATACCAGCACACTCCAGGCTGGTTACTTCGGGACTGTCGGCGCTTGCTGCTAGCACGTGACAAGGGTCTACTACTACGCGAACTCGAGGGACTGCGTGCACGACTCCTGGAGTTCATCTCCTGTCGTATACTACAGATCTCCTCGTATAGCTTGGCTATATGGGCCACCGCGTCAAAGCTTGATGACCCCCGTCAGACGAATCTTTAGTCTGAGCGGGAGCAGCAGTTACTGTTGCGGAAATGCCAATTTTAGGATTGATGGCCTCTACCGCTCTATCAGCTGCCTCGGCTATCTCCTGTAAGGGGTACTTGTAGATCGGTGCTAAGATACCCTGGACTGCCTGAGGTAATCTTTGAAGCCAAAGTTGTTTCAGAAAGACCTCGTCAATTTTAAAGTCCGCCACTAACTGCTTCATCTGCCTCAACATTTGTGAGGGCTTGCGGTCACCTAACTGAACATCTCGGAAAAGTTCCTGCACTTTCTGTTGGTCAGTAAGTGCGACTCGTTGAATTAACGCCTGTTTGAGCCGCTCGTACCGATCCGGAGACGGATCTGCGAGAACGTCAGACACCTCGTCTATGACACTTTCAGGCAGGCTCACAATCACGTGGTTTACTTTGGTCTCTTGTGAGTGTATGTGTCTAATGGCAAACTGAGCCTCTATATGATTGAACCATGCAGCTGGACGATGTGTCCAGAAGGCGGGGAGTTGCAGCGTTATAGCCATCTCTGACGCAGAACCGTTGTCAGCCATCTTGCACACAAGACAAATTATTAACAAGGTGATAAAAACCAATATAAGTACAAACAAAACAAATCAAATCTTTATAACCGTGCGTGAAAGAAAAAAAAAATTAACAAAATAGACGGTACGTAAAAAGAATTATTAACACGTTAAGCTACTATGGCGGAAAACGGTGAAAACGGGCTCACCACTTGTAAGTGTTGGGGCTAGACTTAAGATAGTCCTCGATATCACCACACTTACTAAAAACTTCACCGTCTTATGACTTTACCAGTACTCTACCTAACGTGTAAGTACTGATTAACTCAATCAAAGTTTAAAAGCTAACAATGGAAAGAATTCTTAGTATGAGTTGTATTTAACGTAACTGAATAACAGATTTAATAAATAAAGTGACTGTACAACTTAGCTGCAGACGTTGCTGGAGGTAGGCTCGGAGAGTGTGCAGAAAGAGAGCACAACAAGAGAGCGAACCAATGAACGTACGGAAGACTCACAACTCAAAAGATAAAAAGTGTATTACCATGGGTGAGCGAGTTTAAACAAAAGTTCAAAGGTACAATGTGCACTACAGTTGCTGAAAATATGTCTTGCCTTATTGAGTTTATGATTGTTTCTCATCGACATCAAATAAGTGCATTTTACTTGAAGGACAGTATACACATACATTAGTTATCATCACATCTACCCCATCTACACATTAAACTCCCTAATCTAATGACTAAATGACTGACTGGAAGTTTACCTCATCTAATGCTAACAACTAAGTAAGTAACTCAAATAGATGAATGACACAGAAAACTTTGAGGTAACTGTATGATAGACTGATAACTTTGTGACTAAATCTACACTGAAATCAGATTAAAACATCATGAAGTGGCTTAAATAACGCAATAGTTTGGTGGACAGTACATTTATGTAACTAGTTACGCAGTAAGTGTTGTCCTTGCAGAGTGTTCTGAATATGTCAAATACACATACATAAACATTTTTTCGTTTATTTTTCGTTCCCAGTGGAACATAAGGCTTCAAGCTAGAGCTTTGATGTTTCGGCAGCAGTGGTGATTATTTTTACAGGATGGGATTGCTAGCCTCATCCCCAACCTTCCCTCTTCACCAGTTTTATTACTGGCTTAGCGAGGCAAAGGAGTGCGTCGGTGGCAGGGGATCGAACCCCAAACCACATGCGTGGTTGGCGAGCATCCTACCGCTGAGCCACTGACGCACTACAAATAAACAAATACAATTGGAACTTTGAAACAACTTTTAACCCACTCTGGCAATGAATCGGAGTAAACACTTCATTCACATATGATTGTTAAATTTGCTCATCATTGTTCGCTCGGAACATTTCCTAAAGTCATTCAAAAATAAAACAAGAAATTTTGAAGGTAATTTATGTCAAAATTTACGAAGTAATTTAAAAGTCTAAATCAGATTCTAATTCGAGTTTCTATGCATCAACTTAATCGCTAATTCATTCAATGAACTGCGCTGAAGTAAGTAATAATAAACAGTTCTTTCGGCCACTGGTGCATATCCTAATGAAATTCAACTTCTTTATTACTAGTTACTAACTGTCACATGATAAATTGTGGTTAGTTTCTGGGTGAGGAGTGCATACTCAGTACTGTGAAGTTTTACTACAACTAAAACTAAAGGATTACTCTGTACTGCATAGTTAGTTAATGAGATCACGTCATGAAAAAAAATCAAATCTACACCAGTATAGCAAATTATCAAAAACCATGGCCAGTCAGACCTACTCATGAGTACTGCCTTTATTTTCCTTCACACGGATTAGAAAGTAAAACTATTCTTCTGCCTTATATGTCCAGCTGCACAGAATTCGAATGATTCTAACTGGTATCGGTCTCTCAGCTGGTTCGCATAGGATACACAGCCGATGAACTCAGTGGTAGACGAGAGGAACGGTGTTTGAACCACCTCGATTTTGGTTACTAATCGCTTCTAGTTGGTGTAAAGCATTTCCGATCACTTATATCAGTCAGTAATAGTACATGCAATCTTGTTATTGAATTAGTTTTCCCAGTAGTATACCAGCTGGAATTGTGGAAATCTTAGTGTCACATACTTTTGGGTATAAATCAGGTGGATGTTTTTCTTATTTTTAATCTTTTAATGTCTCTTAAATGCAAAGTTTCATGCATATATTATTGCTTCTCAAACATCCCCTTACATTTTAATAATTATTTAAGTTTCTTTGAAGATCTTTGGATACAAAATACAGAATCTATGTTAGTTTCGTTACAGGTCACATCACGTAATTGTTTTTTACCACACTCCTACTAAGATCAGTTTTTATGATGGTTGGATCTACAGCTATAATCTTGGTCTAGCACATTTGCATTACTGCACTCTTTCCAAAACTTTTATTTTGCAAGAAAATTATGCAGGCAGTTAACCGTGCAGGCGAATCATTCGCAGAATGGTAATGAAACAGAGTGGATTTCTTATCTTAGGCTTACTGGTAGCAACCAATTAGTAAAATGTGCGATATGATCAGTAAGTTAAATGATCCAACACTGTGATAAATTATAGTCTAATACCAGACGTTTGCAGGATTTATACGGGTAAGATACTTCTCTTTTTCTATCCTGGTATCCCTCTTGGTAATGACCAGTATCGTTCCTGAAACACATGTTCCTTGGGTGTTTCAAGCTCGAATGATTAAAAAGAAGAATAACTGTAACCCTTGTGACTTTGAAATCCACTGAAACAGATTTAGACCTCATGGAGAAAATATATATATATATTCCCAAAGAGAGTCATTCTTCTTATAGATAAAGACAGGTAAGAAACTTTCATTTAAGCAGAACTGTCTACCAACTAAAATCTCAACCTCTATGAATTGAATGTCACTACGCTAACTGAAACTGTCATAAAATCTCAGTGGTATTTTCCCTTGCCGAAGTAGTTCTCAGCCTCATGTCTGTACAAAGTAATCAGTCTTCTTCTTATTGTTATTTATACGAAACGGACAACCAACCAGATTTGTAGTACTGTTAACTTAACTGTTTTTTATTTGTTTGCTGAAAAATATACTTACAATTCGGTTCTTTAATTGGTTTGTTATTGACAGCAAGAAACCGCAGTTGATCGCTGATTGGACAGAACCCATTTGATAAAGTTAATATAAACTGACAAAATGAGCATTGAAAACAGAGGAAAAGACAGAGATCCGTCAGCTATGGCCAGCATAATCTACTTATCAGTATGCCTGTTGGCATTAAGTCAACTAACCGTTGGAAAACTCTTCAGAGATTGCGGTAAGCTAATTTATGATAAATTTATTTTTGTTGTCGCTGATGTCAATTTTTAAATGAGACATTGAATGCATGTGCAAGTGATGATAATTACATAGTACTCACACTGTGCTAGTGAATAAGGCCCAGTGACTTGGTGGACCACGATTTGACTTTTTCAATGATAGGTGCTAGGTCTGAGTCATAGTCATCACTTACTACGGATGAAGATGCATCCACTTGATGTGTACGCTGGGATCCACTGCTGATCTCGATACACGAAGTAATAACCATTCGTTGCATTGATGGTTGGCTGTTACAAGGCTCGTTAAACACGCAGATGGTCCGGCTTTAACACCAAGATGACACACATTTCTTAGTCCCACTTAGCTTACCAACTGGCAGTAACCCCGGAAAAGAGTGAAAGTTAAGTGTAAGACCAGCGACTCCAGCCAGTAGAAATGAAGCCACCACCAATACTAGAACTTCAGTAGCTTGGAGCCCAATACCCCACCCATAACTCAAGGAATCAATAGAGACATACTTATGCCCATGCACTTAGTAATGAAGAACAGCTATCATATTAATTGTAGTGAACGAAAGTTATGCTCATGACTGAAGGTGAAATGATAATGTCAGTGATAATCTGATTCTTATTATTGACCGTCGAGTTTATAGACCATCACTCGGACAACTGATCTAATGAAAGGAGGAGACTGACACGCCTTCTAAATACCTGAAATATTCTAAAATTGTCGATAACTAACTGATCAGTGAAATAATGACGCACTATAGTTGTTCTTAATATTACTATTGCTTTGGTTTCAGAGTGGCACTTAGGAATTCAGCAGCACATATCCATTTCACTCCTCCCTCTGTAGTTGTTTTAGATGACTCTGCGAATGTTCATAATCTTCCACTCCCTCCATGTCACTCTCCGATGTTCACCTGATAGTTTCGCAGTCGGCTTCCACTTGAGGGGATGGTACGTGGTGTCATTCATCTGTCTCCTCAGTGCGTGTCCAATGCATTCTGATGAGACAATAACGTAGAACACTGTATTATAATACAGCATTTATAACTGACACAATTCATAAAAGCATCCATGAAATCAGACAAAACTGGTGTAGTGAAACTAAAGTGGATCGATGTGTTCGGGAGAGATAATAATTAACTGAACATCAGTGAAACATTTTCAGAATCTAAAGGGTTATAAGGAATGAACACGGCCGCTCCGTCGCAGGTGGTCACGAACACTTTCCAACAAGCCCCGGGAGCCTCAGTCAAGTAAAATATACCACACCACCACGCCAGTAATAAGACTGATAAAGAGGCAAGGTTGGGCATGGGGCTATTAACCCCATACAGTGAAAGTAAACACCACTGCTACCTAAACTTCAGAGCTCTATTTTGAAGCCCTGTGTTCTACTGGGCAGCCAATTACTTCATGGACTGATCCCATCTTTTTGTCTGACCACCACTAATCTTTTCCTGACCTAGTCCTGTTTCAGCTAACATTGCTAATGGAGAAATGCCATAGTAAGGCATGCTTAGCACACTTCACAGCTTCATTGATCACTGATGCAACCACTCGTATTACAGAAGAAGGGGAATTACTGAAACTATGAAATAGAAATGAGCTCCGGGGTTGAGTGACTTTCAAAATGTTATCTAGTGCTTCATTGTATGATACTTTAACTTGTGAACCAATACAGGAGAGTTACAATACTAGTAAATAGTTCAAGTTCCAGGATTATAGTCAGTTTTTAATCATTTGTTTTTCTGAAGTCCAATCATTATTGATAAACACACTACCCACCCATAGTAACCATGAAAAACTGACCGGGGAATTCCTTTACTATAAAATTAAATCAACCAAGAAACATCATCTCATTCTGTTGTAATGTGTGGAAGAATATTTTAAATTGTAATGAACTGCTACTGATTACCAGTTGTTCGTTTCATTGTTATTTTATTTCTTTTATCCCTTTGCGCTCCGAGTGGACCATAGGGCTTCAGGCTAGAACTTTGAAGTTTCTGTAGCAGTGACCTTATCTTTATGAGGTGAAGTTGCTATTCACACACCCAGCCTTCCCTCTTTACCGACCTTATCACCGTCATGGGGAGGTTTAGGAGTGCGTCTGCCGGGGATCGAACCCCCGATCACATGAGGCGTGGTCGAAACACCGATGGACAATTTTTAGATAGTTTACGGGCTATAAATTCAGAAATTTTCGCCTTTATTTTCTGAGATGTGATTATCATTTCAGCACTGTCATTCCTGATGTAAGTATTTCTGGCTGTTTCATAAGCAAACGCACAGACGTGCATCTGGTCTCTAGAGCTGATGTTAATGTAGAAACTAAAAAGTTTGATTTTCCACACAAGCTACTAACTTTTATTTGAGTAGCTTGAATGACATTCATATAAAGGAATGCTGGTCAGAAACAGAGAGAGCGAAGTCAAATATAACTCTGTAATAATAATAATTATTATTATTATTAGGTTTATTCCAAGACAGTACTAATGATACAGTGTGGAATTTTCAGAATTTGGGAAAATATTGCTTCTAGTTTTGTCCAATAACATTAAAAACAATTATAAAAATAATATAACAGGATTGTTAATGGCAGTTCTTCTTTTGCATTTGCAGTGACAGTAAAATCACAAAAATACAGAAAATTGTAAAAAATTGTATTACTGAATGATTAATGATTGATTCGTTACACTTATAGGAGAGTATAAATTTTTTTATTTAGTTCTCCATGATCACTTTCTGTTGGCTCCACGACTTCCCACAACCCTTCATTTCCCTAAAATGTGATTTCCACTTCAATTTTCGACCAAGCACAAATCATCACTTACAGTTTCGGTTCCACTAGACGGCCTGCTTGACACCTGATGTTACTCAGTGGTCTCCTCGACGTATGTTCACTTCCCCTGGCATATTTACTGGTTAGGTAATAGGTTGCTGGCTAGTTTACTGCTTGCCAGACTTTCTTGTTTTTTAACCTCTCCAGCGAGCCAGCCATCTGATCCTCAGTACTGAGTTAGCGAAGCCAAGCCCTGACAGACATCTGCGGTAGCCTGTTGGGAATGCTTTTGGTGACGCGCAAGACACGCGTCTGATCTACATAGAATCGCTCATTGACATGATACATGTGTAAAAGGAAATTCAAATATTGTTTATTTTGTTGAATGCTTTAGACGTTCACAGTGCTTTGAGTTTACTGTATGTCTTTCTTTCTTGATCCCTTCTGGGATTTGACTGACATCTTCATTTATGCCACCACCTTTGGGTGAAACGATTCCACTCACGTAGGTAAAAGGGTGGTCTTTCTCACGGAATAATTTAACCTGAGGGCAACTTCCACAATACTGTTTTCGATAAATTGCCCTTCACGCTCTCCATTCATATATATATGACAGTTAAGGAGTAAATATTACTGATAACACTACTAATAACAACAAAAAATCATTGAGATAAAAAAAACTGTGTTTGAATTGATTGCTAATAGATTAGAGTTCAAAATAATAATAATAATCTTTACAATTATACTACTGAGTAGGACCTCAGGTATCAAAGTTTTCATGAGCACTTACTCTGATATCTACAGTTCATTTTAGTAGTATATTTGTACAGTCCAGTGATAATCGATTCAAACACCTTTGGAATTTTCGATGTTAATAATCTAACGATGTTAAAAAGAAAACATTAATGTTGCCACTAACAGTTGCCCTTTGTTCACTGTTCAATGTTTTGAGATAAATTATCTTCTAAACAGCTTCATCACTTAGCAATTTTTAAAACATAAAACAGCAAATAAATTATTTATCAGATACTTTATATGATTAAGCACTCAAGGAATACACACATTCGATCATAGGAATTATTAAGAAGATGGTTACAACGAAGGAAATTTTCTTTTCGACGAATTCATCAACTAGGCTGTACCTTCGTGTATTTATTGCTAAATGAGCGGGGAAGTTCCGGAATAATTTCCGGTCAAGGCTCAAATTAATAAAACTACAATAAGATATAAATATGCTATGATAAACAGAGGGACAGATAAAACTAACACAAAGTAGTATCATAATTACTGAGAAGACTGACATATTGTGCGATTAGGGGTTCGAAATGTAGAAATAACAAAAATGTTTGGATAAAAAATCTAGTGGGATCATAACTAATGTGACGAATAATTGTTTGTGCAGTTATGGATTAAATATGCGGAAATAGTTAAATATTTTTGATTACAGCTTGATTCCACACTGTATTTTTGGTACAGGTATGGAATTTTCAGCATTTGATATCGGTCGCTCGAATTTCGTAGACCGACTATAGGTATCAGGTGTGCGTCGGCAGGGGATCGAACCCCGGACTATATGCATGGTCGGAGAGAGTCCTAACCACTGTGCCACCGACACACAGAAAATGACAAAATGGACAAGAAGTTCTGATATGAAAATATGGTATTGTAAATAGGGATTAAGAAAACTTAAAAATAACATGAATAAACAGAAAGTTTGGATATAAAAGGCAATGAGATGGTAATTACTAAGATGATGGCTGTGGCAGGGACAAGGGTTGAACGTGTTTCTCTTGGATACAAAGCGTGGGTTTGAGCTTTTCGACAGCTAGTGCCTCGGCTATGCTCATTCATTGACAAAGATCAAAATTTATGTAAAGAAACCAGGGTTTGCAGCTGCATTCTTACCTAACTGTTTTACAGCATTGAAGGCAGAAGTTTATGACCACTCCACCTTCGTAATTACTAATAATATATATGTATATGTATACCCATATGTGAGTGACGAGTCGGACAATGGGTCTCGGTGGTACAGTGGTTAGGACTCTCGCCGACCATGCACACGGTCCGGGGTTCGATTCCTGGTCAATGCACTCCCTCACCTCTCTTACCCGGTAGTAAACCCAGTAAAGAGGGAAGGCTGAGTGTGAGGCTAGCAACCTCAGCCCGTAAAAGATACCACTGCCACGGAAACTTCAAAGCTTCAGCTTGGAAAGCCATGTTTCACTGGGAACTCAAAGCAATAGAACAATAATAAAATACTATCCTTTTTAAAGGATTAATTACGTCCGTCTACTAGTAGTGTAAGGTTCACATTTGAAGGCGATTATTTTCGTCAGATTGATGGTCTGCTATGGCTGGCCTGTTGGCGTCCATTTTAGCAGATAATCTATATGCCACATGCTTTCGTATGGCATACAGTACATCAGTATCAGTCAGCCAATCCAAAGAAATCCCATCCATAATTATTGCAGACTATTTAGTTGTAGCTAGTTTTAAATTTTCAGTCTATACCAAATTTGGTGCAGCTTGATTCGAGCCATAGCATAATACATGCATTCACTTCAGTCTTGGACATCATTCCTTTACAATGAAAGCAATTTTTGTTTATGACAGCTGGGTCTGAGACTTACAAATTCAGTGAAGCCTATTCAAATCTATTAATTAGCAAGTTAGCTCTTACACATATGTTTTGTGGTTAGCTACCTTCATAAAATTTCAGTTAGCTAAAAGAACAAATGTATACTTCAAAATGTTGTAACTTTTTCGCTTACAAAATGTGTGAAGAATCAGTCCATTTCAAGGAATTCTCCATTATAAGCCGGTGCTAGACAAATAGACATCGAAAGCAAAAAAAAAGACGACAACTATTTCTTTTTATTTCATACATTTATTCCCCTTAATGAATTTGAATAAAGCGAGAACTACAGTTTTTGCAGAATAAAGTCGTACCATCATTTATTTCGTTGCCTGCTCATCAGCTGCTTACAGGCCACAGTCATTATTATGTATATCTACAGAAAGAATTTTAAAATACTTGCACATAGTTTATTTGAAACAAAAATCAATCAATATATGCATAAAGTTATATATAAATATATATATGTAATATTAAACACTATTCCGAACAATAGTGGTCATGCACAGTGGAAACTTTCGACATTACGTATCCAGATGAAAGAGAGATGAAAATATCCAGTTGCCAGGCAGAGCAAAGAAAGACTGATAACCCCTTCTTTCTGGACGCACAAATCAGGTTTCAGGCGCTTGATGAACATTGATTCAGCAAACTTAAGGAGAATTGAGCTCTTTTGCCTACTGATAATTTTGAATGACTTTTCGATGTCCACCTCATGATCCGTGTCGAGGAGATGCCTGGCGATGGCACTGTTTAAAGCATTTGTTCTTTTTAGACATAAGCCTTATGGTACATGTTCAGAAAATCGTATATATGCCCTTCCTTTTGTCCTTCCAATGTAACTACTCCCGCAGATACATGTAAATTTGTCTATCAAGTTGGAGTTAACATGAGAAGGATGTGTGTCGATTTTTGATTGCACCAAAGAGCAAGTTGTTCGGTAGATGGGGATAAGCTTAGCTGCAGGATAGGCTGTGGCTAGTGACATACTCAGTCTTCGGTTGACCATTGTTGCAATGTTTTCACCTTTATAATCCAGCTGAATGCATACTGGCTTTTTCTTAACTGTGATTTGCTTCACATTTGTGACTTCAGATCTTCCATACTTGTTGATGAACCTTTGACGGTACCCATTGCTCTTCAATATAGTTTCAAAAAATTCAAATTCTTCCTCTAATTTCTCTGCAGAGCATATTCTCCTCGCTCTATAGTAGAGAGCGTTTAAAGCTATTTGGACAAAAGCTATTAAAATGTAAGTATTGTCCTTTCCAAGTAGGCTGTCGATAAATTCACTTCTGAAGAGTACTGTCTGTGCAAGTATGCTAAAATTAATTCTGTAGATATAATTAATAATGACTGTGGCATGTAAGCAGATGATGAGAGGGAAACGAAATAAATGATGGTACGACTTTATTCTGCAAAAACTGTAGTTCTTGCTTTATTTCTTCCTAATTGTGAACTCCTACTTAATTATGAATCTACAATCCCATAAGGAGTTCAGACAAAGATTGCCAAATCTTTAGGGATCACATGATCTCATACAATTATCAGAATTTGAAGTAAGTTCAACATGAAATGCTAATCTAGAAGATGTAACTCAACCCCCTGTCGGTTCGTACCGTGTTTGAATTCAGCTCCACTTACTTTATCCTGAGCAGGCGGGTAGTGTATACATTCTTCGCACAATAGTTGTGACTCATTGCCTGGCGCTGAGTTTTAACTAACTGGGTAATCTGGTAGTTGAGTAGAAAAGAGTTCGCTGAGAAACCCAAATACTGAGAAATTCTACATTAGAATCCACAGTTGGATTAACATCCACTTTTTGTCTTTTTACTTTTGAATAAGTTAGTCTGTAGCAGTATTTTAAGGAGTTATATACGAAACAAATTATCGAACATCAAATGTATCTTTTTATTTTTAGGTTCTACAAAAGGCTCCATAGTTTCAATGACTGTTACACCATGCGATACAAAACCATGTTCTTTATATAAAGGCAAAAATGCAACCATCACAATTGACTTTAAAACGTGTAAGTAAAACAGTGAATGTTTAATGTTACTTTTTCAGTCCTTTTTAGCTAATGCCTAATTTTTAAATGTCTATTGACTTATGACTGTTTACTGAGGGTAAGAAAAAATTTTACGGCTGGGTAGCTATAGGTCTGTTAAGGTCAGAAGTGTCTGCAGTTCAAATGTGTTGTACAATGAGATCTCTTTTCTGAAAAAGTGTATTGAAATTTGATACCCCTTTATAGAAGCAAGTCAGAGTTCATAGGCTATTGTACTTCTTCCTAGTTAGAGCCCACTTGTAAACTAGGTACCCAGAGAACTGACTCCCAGCAGGATCATGGGTGCGTACTAATGAAGAGTTGAAGAGTGGGTCAGAACATCAGACGAGTATTCCTTGGTTTTTCAGGGATTTTCTAGGCGATACCGGCTCGTAATTAAACTAGCTTCAGAAGTGTAAGTCCTATGACTTACAAAGAGATCCCCACCAATGCACCGAAAAGCCTGCAATATAGGAATATAAACTTTAACCATTTAACCATTTGTGTGTGCATCTGCCGAATCATCTGCTCCTATGGGCTATTCGGTGCAAATCTTATCAAAAAGCGTTAACTGAGGATCGACTATAAGCGCTATATGCAAATGACATAAATAACTATTAATTTCACTGCTTACTAACCTGAAATGAGACTGAGTTATTTTACTGTTAAGCAATACTCCAGCGCACATTTTGTCATGAATTGATATATTTTATAAACCAAGGAGTACTTAATAACTGTTTGATCCTAGTTTGAAACTCTTCGGCAGACAGTACCCATGGCTCCACCAAACATCAAACCTCGAAACCTCTGGTTACAAGCCTAATACATTCTACACTCAACCACTGATTTATTATATATTACTACTGTTGTTTCCTTGGATTTCGAGTAGAACATAGGGCTTCAACGGCATATCTTCACTTCAACCTTTTCTCTGCAGTTGTCTTCAGCTGTCCCCACGATTGCCTATAATCTCTTATCTCCTCCTCACATAATATCCTCCATGTCACTCTCCGACTCAAACCCTATTCATCGCTTCTCATTTTGGTTCCACTAGGGCGATGATCTGGAGCCCGATGCCAGCCAATACTCTCGTCGACGTGTATCTGATCCACCTCCATTTCTTTCAAGATATTTATTGGGCAATACGTACTTGATTGATGGGCTGTCGGAGTTTCTTTCCAATAGTTCTTTCTTGCCGATCATCTAATCTTCATTATGGAGGCAGGAAAGACAGCTGTTGATAAAAGTCTGCAATCATATGGAAATTCTTCTCATGACTTCTGACCCATATAGGATAACTGAATGACTTGACATTGACGTTGAAAATCAGAATCACGTTCCTTATTGTTATGGAATGCAAGAGATTTTCAAACTGATTTCAGAGTAATGGAGACCTACCCTGCCTTTCCGATTATGTCTTGGACATCCTCATCCGTCGGGGTGGGCCTGTAGTTGAAACTATGCTTCCCAGTTAAGTGAGTGGTACTTGTTGTTGTCTATCTTCATCACCTTCGTCTTCTTTATGTTCACCTACCTTCGTTGCCAGTCTCTTCTTCCAAACTGTTGGTTTTCGCCTGCAAGTCTTCGAGTTTATGTGACACTATACATATATCATTCATGAAGTCCACGTCTTCTAGAGTCTCCTTATCGCCCTAATGTATTCCTGTATTCGCACTCCCCATTCACAGTCTGATGCAGTATTTCAGTCCGTCATAATTAGCAATATCATCGGTGATTGTAGACAGCCTTATCTTGCCCCTGTTTTCATTCCAAAGGCTTCACTGAGTTTTTTTGGATCACCTGACACTTGGCAGGCCTTGCCATATAGCCAGCTGTTGAATAAGGCTGATAAAGATTTGGGACACTGCGCGCCATAGTGTCGAAGTAGTCTCCAAATTACTTCGTGGTCAACTCTGTCGAAGGCCTTTTTGAAGCCAATGAAATAGAGGTAGCGTTTTGATTGATATTCAACGCTCCTTTTAAGAATCCAATAATTCTTGAGTGCCTACTCTTTGTTTTTCAATAATATTTATGAGTAATGTCGATTCATGAGGAAATCTACGCTGAAATTATTGCAATCCTTTTGTGAGCCCAAAATCTATACATGAATCCAATTTGCACTCTGTATTTTCTGTTTATGATAATTTAAACTGCTCAGTGAAAATACCGAAATGTTTTTATAATAAAATTTAGGTAAACGAATGACAGGTAACACCTGGTATTCAACGTGAACATTGATTCAAATCACTTGCTCATATCTAGGTAAAGACAAGCACAGTTGTAAGCAATTTTTACACATGTAGAGTTAGCTTGAATTTTTGGTTCACCAATGCTTCACTTGTGCTCAGATACCTTTATCTCGTATCTTTTGAGAAGTTCGATTGTACCTAGTATAAGATGTTGAAGGATTTCTCAAACATAACTATTTTCCCAGTATTAAGGAAGAATTCTTCAATTGAAATAAAGACGCCTCTTCGATTGCCACTCGCTGGACAAGTTGAATAATGCTCACAAACCTCTTTTTCCAGTGAAAGTGTTGTTCAACCGATGTATTTAACTCACTGAGAGCTATTATACTGACAGTGATACGGCTTGATGCCTTATTCATCCACAAAAGATGCTATTTTCTAAGACAGTCAGCATTGGAACCTTATCTTTTTCGTGCATTCAGACTGGTGCTGGGGCGGGCCTGCTTGTCTCGCGCCCATCCTCTCCTCTTTCTTCGACTTGCTATCGGTAAGGTGAGTTATAGGAGTAGGCCGGATGGGAATAGAATCTAGACCTCTCAATCCGCAGACCACTTCCTTCCAGTAGCGTACTGATCAACAGACTCTTCTCATGACCCCAATGTTCATAGTTCAATCCCTGGTGGAATCATCAGTGGACACTACTGAAAATGTTGGTGACCATGCCATACTGGATGTACCGTTTCTTATGCTATTGAATTTTCATTATATTCCATACAAAATAGGAAGTCTAATTACTGGTAACTTTTATGGGATAATTTTCAATAATAGCATTAACTTCTTTTAATATCTATTAACATATTATTGTGTACTTATCGTTTAGCATCTGCTGTGACAAAAGCAAGTGCAATCGTCCATGGAATACTTTCACACATACCAGTACCATTTCCATTAGATAATCCTGATGTCTGCAAATTCGTTACTCCATCGTGTCCTTTGAAACCAAGTGAAGCAAAGTACACGTATAATTATACAATGCTAACTTCAACTTCATATCCCTCGGTAAGAGATTTGACTTAAATTTTGCACTTCAGATATTTCCTTATGCATGTCCAACGTACAAAGCTGTTTGATGTGAGTAATCTGCATCTCTTCATGTCAATTAGTGGTATATGCAGTCCTGTGAACCTCGGGCAAAACATAAAATAACAGTTAACTAAATAATTTTGACTTTAAAAACACCTATAAATAGCCAACGTTATACATAGATAAATTCCTAGGTTTTTAAATGTGAAATCTGTCTACGCAACACAGTATATCTCCTAAACAGAATCAACTAGGAGTTTCTTAAACATCAGTGGGTGATAGTCAGCAGGTTAGGGGAAATAACGATTGGTGTGCATCTCAAAAAATACCAACAAAAACACTGCAGTCAGTCATTATAAATCAAAATGAATTGTAATAATAATAATTATTATTATTATAATAGCTTTATTCCAAAGAATACTTTTGGTACAAATATGGAATTTTCAGGATGCACTCCGGTACTGCATTTAATTTCCTGATTACAGGGGTAATAATTAAACCACGGCATTTATATTGACAATATTATTCAGTAAGCATATGAATATTAAATTTAATTGAGTATCTTAGGTAGAATATACTAATAAATGGAAGAATAAAGAGGGCTGTTTACTTAGTGTAAGTAGTGTCGTGCCTTACACTTTTCTCATCACATAAAATGTGTGCCCACCAAGTAAGTTATTGAGGAGTTTTAGTATTTACTCGTCCGAGTATATAGCCTTCTACAGTTGCTTCTAGTACTACCTGATGAGATGCAAAGAGAGAGGGAGAGTTGTATAAAGAGAGGATGCTCAGCGTCTGACAAGATTATATTTGCTGATTTCTTGCTTGGGTCCATGTGTCCACTGTCTACAACTGTATTAACAAGTTAATTTAGTTAGTAACATTCCACTTGCCCTACTGAAAGCTTTTAGTTCCCTTCGCAGGGCAACAAAGTAGTCCAGGAAAGATTAAGGCAGGGGAGCAATAAACAAGAGTAGGTAGCATACACAAATTAAAAAACTGTCGAAGTAGAGATTGATTGACACCAGATTGTCTTAACTACCTTACCTAGAAATGTAAAACAAAACACCTTCCGAAGAAATAACGTGATGTGTGAAGACCAGGAGACATCAAGGGACATACACACTCCAAGGTAATTGACACTCAACTTTGTTTCAACTTCATTATCATCCACCGTAGTGGAATCATGCGAACGAACCAACTCATGTATGTCGCGTTTGCATCTGAAAGTGACAGTAACAGCCTAACATTTGGAGGGATTTAGCTAGGGACGATTGGTTGACAAGGGCCACTGACTTATTTCTAATAAAATATGTTTCATTTTTGGAACAGTTTGATTGAGATTAGCCTCATCAAATTGGAAAAAGTCATGTAAGAAGAAAGAAAATAAAAAAGGAGAAAGAACAGCACCCTGAGGAACCATAACTAAAGTAAATATTACATCAGTTCTCAGTGTTATCTACACATGATTGTTTATCCTTAACAGCATCATCATGTTTGCTGTGATCTGTTCTTTTTTTTGGTTTTTCTCTTCTCAAATCATTCAGATAAGAGTGGGAATTAAGTGGGAGTTACAGGATGAAGACGGCAATGATATTGTTTGCGTCGAGTTCCCAGCGCAAATAGTTTAATTTTCTTTTCATCTTTGACTACTTATTTGTGATTTATACCTTTGCTATCAAATAGATTCAGTGTGATCCAATTTTCTGAAGATGAGTATTTTATTATCTGTTGAAAAAACGCTAATTTATTTTTTCACGAGTAGATGCTAGTTTCGTTTTCTTAGTGGACAGTTTATAGTCCACATGTTGAAGTAAATATATAAAAGTGACATTTTAACTTAGCTTTCAGCCAATTCACAAGTTTTGTATTAACTGGATTAACCATATTTCATCAACATGATAGACAGCATTATCAATGAGGACCTCGTGAATTTGTCAGTTTCCTTTAGATGACCATCAAATAAGACAATACTGACATCTCCATGACCTTGAATATGGTTGGTTCTCCAGGCAGCTGCTATCTGATAGGCTAGATTTATTGTTTCCATTATTCTGTTGCGAAGATAAATATTTTGATGGGTAAAATTTATTTTGATAAAGTCTCACAGTGTTATACAGTAATATTTACTGATGAAAACCTTTCGAGCACAATTTATTGCTACTCATAATCATATCAAGGTACTCACACAACAACTAAGTAACAACTTTGTAACTTCATTCATATGCTGTCATTATTTCTCGCCTCTTGATTTGATTGGCAGTAATATTTTCTATATTTTTTGTATGAGTGATGAGTCATTCCTATTGCACGTGTTGGGTGTAGACTCGATGAACAAGGATTCAGTAATCAACCTCTCTCTCCACCTACCTTGATTACTTTTTAGAATTTTAACCCTCTCCCACCCTGTTGTGTAGTTTTGTGTTAATGCATGCATTGCAATTGCTCAGCTTTTTTCTAAATTACTTATCTTCGCGGGGTCAACCCTCCTTACATTACCTAAATTCGTATATCTTGACAATCTGACTACCCCCGACTTACTAGTTTGAACTATGTAGTTGACCTGACAGTCATTGCAAGGTATAAAAGAAGGCAGACTGCAAACTAGTGTTTATAAAAAGCCAATGAATTCTAATAGATATTTACACTTCACCTAGTCTGATCCGTTATCTGCAAAGGCAGGCTTAGTTAAGTGTCTAACAAACCGAGCAGTAGCACTAACAACTACAAGAAAAGACAAGAAAATGAAACAGACAGAAGAAGTGTTGGTGTCAAATAACTATCCTTTAAAATTCATTAAGAAGATCAAAAAAGGTCGAAATAAAAATAATGGGAAAACTAATATTGACAACATAAATAAAAAAAAGAATACAAGGCATCTACAGTTTTATCATATAAGGAGGGTCATCTGAGACACTACGTAGGATCCAATTCGACAAAATGATATAATTCACAAAATACCTTGCACTGACTATGAGTTAGGTGAACTGCTTTGGACAAACTAGTAGATCATGAGTAGTGAGATTGCCTGACAGAACATAAGAATTTCGCAAAGTCTAGAATGATCGATCCCACGAAGACAAGTAATTTAGAAAAAAATTCAGCAATCGCACTGCATGGATTAACATACAACCGCACAATAGGATGACATTGAGTTGAAATTCTAAAAATTAATACAGTTAAGTGGAGAAAAAGATTGATTACTAGATCCTTGTTCATACAGTAAAAAACTCAACACATTCAATAGAAGTGACTCAACGCGAATACCCGAGATATGGAAGATATTATTACCAGTCAAATGAGAGGATAACAAATACTGTTAAGATTTCTCTCAATTCACATTATAACACTCAAACAAGTTATTTATTTTACTAATAGAAAAAACATATTTCCCACCTATTTGACTGACAACACTCGTCTTATTTCCCATCGTATAATATTCACAATGCTATATTGTTTCCAAATATACTTTATGTTCCTCTCTGTTGCACGAATGTCTTTTATTCATTTTATTCATGTGTCTAGTCACTTTTCAGTCATGTATATAAACGAAGCAAAACGTTGAGTGAGTACCTTGATATGATTATGAGTAGCAATAAATTGTGCTCGAAAGGTTTTCATCAGTAAATATTAGTGTATAACACTGTGAGACTTTATCAAAATAAATTTTACCCATATTGGAATTATACTCTACCACAGTGCACAAGTTCTACTCTTATTTCAATATATACTTTGTTCTCATCTGTATTAACAACGTGCGTTATCCATATTACGACATAAAACAGGTCATTATTAGCATCGTTCCCGAACCTTTTAGTTTCCATTGAATCCCTTAATATATATTATAAGTGTTATAAACGTATCATAGAGTAATTTCATACTAGCTAGTCGCCTGGATAAATTTGAGCAAGGAAATGAGAACAGCTTTCGCTAGATTTGATGGACACATTTTATTTCATACGGTTTTCGTTAACTGCATACAAACTGAGAAACAATAAAATACACAAGTCATCCCTTTGATATGAATAAACAATTTACACTGAATGAGTTGACTAAAACACCAAAAATGAACACTACTTGCACATTATGCAGAAAGTTCTGGTAGTAATATTAATAATACATAATCTACCAGTCTTTGTAGTGACAAGTCAATATCAGCATGTTGAAAGGGGGATATTTCCAGGTATTAGTTTCCAGGGGATATAAATGACTTCAAGTCTGGTCACGGTGTTATATCAGTTGGAGAAGCATGAAAAGCCAGACTGTACTGAGACTCATCATCACTGCACACCTTAACTCCACCAGACACCTACACGAGAACCCTAGAGTTCCCAAGCCAGCACCTTGAACATTCATCCAATGTAGTGGAATCTAATGACCTATAGATTCTTACTTCTACCGATTAGTGATATTTAGTAGCACTCGAGAGTATATATCCTCATTGCCGGCCTGGTTGACCTCATTCCTTACAAGAAATTCAGACACTCTATCCTGTGGTCAGGCAGTAGTGAGCATTAGGTTAATCTTCAAGTGTTTGTTTCCACATATCTGGTTGGTTTCGATTGGGATGACAAGCTGTTATAAGTCAAGAAGCCACCGAAAACCACAGAGTGCTAGATATCTGTTTGGTCAAATGATAACTGACCAAGAAAATCCGGAAAACATTTTTATTTTGATAAAATCACACAGTTTTATACAGTAATATTGACTGATGACGTCTCGAGCACAAACTATTGCTCATAGTCATATCATAGTCATAAAAGAAAAGAACGGCACAATGAACGAAGAAGTCGACAATAATGTTTCATTTTCTACTGACAAAACAAAATGGGTAATCAACCTCTTTTCAAGACAATTAAGCTCTAGTGAGATAAAACTGCTCGAAAAGGGACTAAATTTCAAGGTAACGTTTAGCAAACTAAAACGAGAAAATGTCATCCCTAACACAGAAGTAGCATTAAGTTCAACAGATAAGACGACAAAGGAAGAGGCTCGAAATCAATGGACATCAACTCTTATGAAACAAAAGAAAGCACAGTCAAAATTTAAAAAAATCAGAAAGACTGGCTCTAATCAATCTTAAAATTGATAAAAAATATCGTCATCACAGTAGCTGATAAAGGAAACTCTACAGCAGTTTTGGACAAATCTGATTATCTAAAGAAAGTCACTGAATAATGCCTCCTATTACTTGACGTAATTAATTATTTGGTTACAAGGATGAATCCATGCAAGCGTCTAGATAATCTAATCATTGCGAATGTGTAATTAGAAAGGAGGAATACTTTTTTATAAAGACCGGATTTGCAGTATAAAATCATATCGTTTTATTTCACAGGTTGTCATCAGCTGAAAACCACCTGAAATTACAATGATTATAAAAGTATGAAAATAAGGTACCTAACTGTTTGAATGGTAGTAGAGAAAATATTATAAAATCAATGCATCCGAAATATAAGCATTACAATTTTTAGTTTAAGTTTTCATCATTAATTTATATGCTCTCAAAATAGAAAAGGATGTGTAGAAGAGATGGAAAACGGAAAAATCTAATAAACGGTGTCACCTTATAAATTCACACAGCAATTAAAAGAAGGTTGAAGTCCATAAGATTGAAAACCTGCTCAGTGAGCTGAAACTGCTAATATGGATGACTAATCGATGTAATCAAAATGTAGTTACCAAGGTAGTGAGAGTTTGATTACACTCTGTATGCACTCTGATTACACTCCTGTATGCATAAGTTTGGTTTGAAATGCTTGATTGCAACTGCTTCAGTAAATCGCAGTAAATTCTGTATTGACTAATATTAACAACTACAATTAGTTGTGTTCTCTGAGCTGGTTGGTTTAATTGTGGAGCTTTCGTCGTCCTTCCGGACAACATCTTCAGAGCAAGTTTTAGCATAAAATGCAGTGATTTAAATTTTAAACAGAGGATACACCAAAAGTGCAAGGGAATTCCTAGAAGCCTGGTACTCAAGCGAATATGCGATTAACATACATGTTAATATACACCAGTGCGCAAATTTTATATATCTGCAACTACTGGGTCTTGAGACAGACAGTGAGAGCTGCAGCTGATGGGATGGAGAATAGCCTAGTCTCAACAGTTCAATGGTATCAGCAGTGCAGAGATATTGTTTCGTGGGAAATGGAGAAAATCACTTCGGTGTTGGGTTGAGAAGACGTTGTTGTGCAAATCGATGGAACTGTGTTGGTGAAAAGAAATACAACCGTGTTCGACAGCGAGCGAATTATATTTGGGTAGTAGGTTTGTATGACACCTCCCTCCAAAAGGGATTCACCGAAAGGATAGCAGTCAGAAAAGCAACTACTTTAATACCTATTATGACGGGACTTGTAAAACGAGGGTCTATAATACATACGGACAAATGGAGAGTTTACAGTTCCCTGTGATCTCTGGGATATATTCATCATAGAGTCAACCATTCAGATGATTTTATCGATCCCGTTATGAGGACACATACAAATTCAATTGAAGGATTTTGGGGCAGGTTGAGAAATAGGATAAGGGCTATAAATGGATCTCATTTATAGTCATTTAGATGAATATATGTACAGAATGTAGTGTAACATTTCTATTGGCAGTCCGATGCTTAACTGGGAGATGTTTCTCTCACATGTTAAGGAAAGATACCCCCTGTAACAGTTTTATGCTTTTTTCTATAAATATACGTTTCCATTTATCATACATGCCTCTTTAATGTGATTTGTCCGTTCAAGGTCGTTTGCTGATTGAATGTTAGTGGTGTCGAAAGTTCAACTTTGCCACATTGGAAAACCTAGGAGTATTGGACAGCTGTTTCCATTGTCCTAGTTTGGGACTCTTCACCAGTGCGCACCCACAGCCAGAGTTCGAACCCACGACCTTCTGGTTACAAGGCGAGCTCGTATACCATTAAGCCACTGGGATCCGATCAAATGGCCAGCCCATGAAATGTAACTTCTGCCAGTTCACGACATAGCGCGATCCAAGCCAATATCTTC